TCTCTAGTGGTTATTCATTGTCATTGAGATTACTGATAACATAGAATCATCTAGTTTTCAAAAAGTTGTAGGTATATCACATTGGCAGAATGTTATGCAAGAAAAATATGACTCTCTTAGGGTACAAGGTACTTGGATATTGGTTCCACCTCCAACTGACAGGTCAATTGTTGGTAGTAAATGGGTGTACAAGGTGAAAAAGAATTATGATGGTAGTGTTTCCAGATACAAAGCTACGTTGGTTGCTCAAGGGTTTTCTTAAGAGTATGGAATTGATTACTCTGATACTTTTAGTCCTGTTGTTAGACATACAACAGTGAGGATTATTCTTGTAGTGGTTGCAGTGAACCATTGGGAATTGAAACATTTAGACATTAAAAATGTGTTTTTACATGGAGATTTGTAGGATGAGGTTTATATGAACAACCTCAGGGTTTTATTGATTCCACATGTCTTGATCATGTTTGTAAACTCATCAAATCCCTATATGGTCTTAAACAAGCACCAAGGGTCTAGAACTCTACTTTTATAAGCTATTTGTGTGCTATGGGATTTTGTGCTTCCATGTCTGATACAAGCTTGTTTATGAAGAAAGATGGGGTTAATACCATCATTCTTCTTCTCCAAATATCATCATACTTCTCCATGTTGATGATATCATTTTGACATGTTCCAATTATATAAAAGGACATCAGGTTATTCATGAATTATCTGAAGTGTTTGACTTAAAGGATCTTGGTAAACTTACCTATTTTTTGGGTCTTCAAATTACATATCAACCAAGTGGTGATAACTTTGTCAACCAGTCAAAGTATATTAAATACTTAATCCATAAAGCTAGTATGGATTCTTGTAAGCCAATCCCAACTTCAACACCATGTAAACCACACAACTCATTGTTAGTGACAGAAGAATTCTTCTCAGTGATCCTACATTTTATAGGAGTATAGTTGGATCCTTGCAATATTTGACCTTCACTAGGCCAGATATTGCATTTGCAATAAATTTAGTATGTCAATTTATGAAAACAACAATTGATATTCATCTTGGGGTTATGAAACAAATACTGAGATATCTTCAAGGAACAATGAAGTATGGTATTGTGTATTCATCAGATGCAGAACCAACTCTTAATGCTTTCTCAGACTCAGATTCGGCAACAGACTTGAATACTCGAAGATATGTGATTGGATATATAGTTTTCCTTAGCAACAATCATATATCTTGGCAATCAAAGAAACAAAGTTTGATTTCCAGAAGTTCTACTAAGCAAAATATGAAACATTGGCTCACACTATTGCTGATATAGCCTAGATTAGGTATATTTTGAAGGATCTGAAATTATTTTTGCCTACATCTCCAGTCATTCATTGTGACTATATGTTTGCGATTGCATTGAGTGAAAATTCGGTGTTTCATTCTCGGATAAAACAGTTGGACACCGATTACCACTTTGTTTGAGAGAAAGTGCAGCAAGGTGACTTGGAAGTTAGCTACATTCCTACTGAAGATCGATATGTCGACATACTAACCAAGGGGTTACATGGTCTTTCATTTGTCAAGCATTATAACAATCTTAAACTTGGCAACCCAAGTTAAGATTGAGGGGGGATATTGACCAGTATTGGCTAAAGGGTAGTATTGTCTAAAGATTAGTTGTGCTGATATGGCAAAACAGTTAGTAAGATTATTAGATAGCTAATGTGGCATTTAGTTAGAATTGTTGCAGCTATTAGTTAGAGTTGTTGGTGCTAATTGCTTAGAGCGCAAGGCAACTATTGAGCTATATAAGTGTGACAACCCGTCCCTAATTCTACGATTTTATAAGTTTTTTAAATATGAATTTACGAAAATACCCTTGAGGCGAAGGCATTGGCTTTTGTTGACCAACGTTTAGTGAGACATATGAAATATTTTTTTAGCGTATTCTTGAAGTACTCAAGGTACAAACACGGAAGCACAAGCGGAATTGAAATCAGAACTACAACGGAGATTTTACGGAACTACGAATCTGAAAAAAAAAATATTCTTTTTAATAAATATTACTATTTTATATTTATTGATTCAAATTATATTATTATTGTTATTTTTAAATTTGTTTTCAATTGGCATCACTCTAGGTGGTTCCGACTCGTGTGCAGGCATATTTGATGAGCTATGGGTTCAGCCGTACAGGCCACAATAGGTGGATCCGGCTGACATATTACTTTTCATAGATTTATTTCACCTGGTTTACTTATTTCATTATGTTGAGATATTTGGCATGGCATACATGTGGTTTTGGCTATTCTGAGTATGGTTTCGATATAGATATGTATTCTATTTTCTGAGAAATTATACGGGGTTTTACGGCGAGGGGTTATTACTTTTGCTAAGTGAAATGGTTTTGAAAAATTTTGTTTTTGCCCACTCACACTTTCTGTTTTGCGCCCATCCAGGTTCTAGTAGTAAAGTTTCTATGTCAACGAGGATTCTTGGCATATCCCAGTACAAGTGGCTTCCTATGATGGTATAATCCTTATCTTACCTTATTGTACTTATGCTATGTAATCACGTGTGAAATGGGTCCATAACCTCTCACCGCGCACTCGTGTACTTAGGCACTTTCAGGCTTAAATTTATTCACATTTTTCACATCATTACACTTTATGGCTTCGTCACCTTCCAGATGTCGGCCAGCACATCTTGATTCGGAGTCCTAGTGAACTTTCTGGGTTGGGGTGTGTCATAAGTGTGTAAACTGTCATTGTAATTCACTTGGTGAAGTATACTAAAGTTCATAACTTTCTTTCTCTCTACAACTGCATTCCTTTCTTTCATTTTTCTGCATTTCATAAGTTCTTACAGTACTGTTATCAATAACTAACCCTTATGAACTTTACTACTTTAAGCATTGTTGGAAATTTGAATAGTTAAAGTAGAAATTTATTTGTCCCACATTGACCATTCCCAAAAGATTTTATCACTTTATAAGGCTTTGTTCTTTATAGAAAGTGATTGGAGTAATAGGCCTGGAGAATAAAATTGAGCTCACCCTTAGGGTTGGGCTTTGGGTGCACTAATTAATTGGTAATTAATTATAATTAATATATATATATAATTAATTATCAAAAGATAGGCCTTGGGCCTTGGGGCTCGGGCTCTAATAATTAAATTATTTAATTAATTATTTTCGGATTTAATTAATTATTTTTAATTAATTTCGAATTTAATTAATTAACTTTTTTTACCAACAGACTCATCCTTTCAGATGAAGTCTGAAGAGTTTAGAAAGAACACAGAGCAAAGCACCCCTTTGGAGAAGACGTATCCCAACAGACACATCCCATTCTCATACCTGTTGCGAACAGGCATCCTTCTATTATATATACATCCATCTGCATGGCATTTAGAATACATAAAATCAATATTCTTCTTCTACAATCTCAAACATCCTTTCTGAGAGAACCACACAGAAGTTCGCTAGAAGTTAAGTTTTCCAGTGCTGGAATTCTAGCTTGATCGTTGAATCCTGGTGAAGCAGACGTCCGTAGAACTACAAGCACTGAGTAGGGATGAATTTTTATTTCAAGGACATTGCGGTATGCAAGCCTTGATCTTCAATCTTTCTTTTTTAAATTATTTCGTTGTTCATACTCTGTTCAATATTTATTCGTATTTATTATTTATTAGCATATATAAAATTAGCACAAATTGTTGACATATATCCAACAAGCATATCCATAAATCAACTGAAAAATACTCTCTTCCAATGCCACCTATATTCATGAATCAATTTCTTATTAAGAACACATGTTAACAATTAAAATAATTTACACTTAATATCTTGCACTATAAAATTACTTGAATCAAGCTGAGGTACCCACAGTTCGTTACTACCACTTGGTCAATAGTTTTCACAAGGTAAAAGCTCATCAAATACGTGTGAACTCGAAACAAGCTCAAGAACAAAAGTTAGGAATAAGAAAGTTAAAAATTTAACTTCGAAAATATATTCACGGGGCCAAATGACAAATGATGACATAAATAATTTGCATGTTTTCATGAATAAGATTTTACCAAAACAAAAAGTTCGCACAAAAAATTGGATTTGTTGATTTCTTAAGTACAACTTTCTCTTTGAATGCATGTCATATCGTCGAAGTTTTTCTTAAAAACAAAAGAACGAAAGGACTAAATAATTTTTTTTCTTTTGAATAGACTAAATGATTTAGCAAAGGCAGCTAGGCAGGTAACTTAAAACAAACAATTATATTGCCTAACATAGAGGATGGTCCTGTTGGAAAAAAGAAAAAAAAAGAAAAAAGAAGAATCAAGCAAGTAAAGTTAATTAACCCCAAAAAACACTCTTACCATAAATTTAAAAATTCACCATTTCTTTCTTTCTTTTCACCAGCTTTGCTTGGTTGCTAGCAGCAGATGCTTAAAATAGGTACCATAGGAGCAAAATTCCAAAAATAAAGCCAAAAAAGAATAAAAATGGTCCACCGATCCTAGTTGCTGTATTGAATTTACAAGTTCGTGCTCTCCAAAACAGCTGGCCCTTTGGGCCTTATTGCAGATAAGATTAAAATAATTAAAACTTTGAAATAAAAATGAAAATACCACCCAGGATGATGACAGAGACAAGCTCGCATGAGCCCAACAAAGATAATACTTGAGGTCCCTACTTATATATAATTTCCCACAATTTTATTTATCAGAAACCAATCAAAATTATAACATGGAAAAAATATTTTAAAAAATCATGCCTAACTGGAGAAGGTTTCAGGCATGGCCTATAATATTCAGCCTTCTCTTCAAATAGAGATTTTTTTACGTGTTATAATATAAATAAACAATATAGTTAATATGTCATATATTTAAAATTTAATAATAAAAAATAATTAATATATTTTAAATTGAATAAAATAATAACATCATGTAATAGTGGTTTCAAAAACTGAAAAATTACTCCTACAAATATCTCTTTCTACTTCTTCTTTTAACTTCTTTTCTTCTCTCTCCCTCCCTTACACTCTCTACCTCCCTTACACACACTCTCTCTCTCTCAAAGCCCAAGGTCAACAAGAAGAGGAACTTCTTTGCACTCTTTGAAACGTTCATGGGGTATCTGAGTCTTGTTGGTCAAAGAAGAATGCACCGACCGTCATTGTATTGAGAGCTACCCTTCTAGCTTCTGCTTCTCTTCAGCCTGCAGCTTCCTCCTACTTTCCTCTTCTTCTTCACTAGAATTTTCCATCAGCAATCTCAACCCTAGAAAAAAAAACCACAAAAAATTGAGAAAAAACCCCACAATAATAATAACAAAAGAAAGAGGAAAGTGCGAAAAGAAAAGTCTTAGCTTTAGAGTTTAGCCCCCAACACACCTGCTTTTTTTCTTCTTCCCTTAGATCTCCAAGATCTAGGAATTTGAGGTAGTCAAAAACAAGAAGTGGGGTTTTGTTTTCCCTAATTTTCCACTTTTATTTTATTTTTTATTTATCATGAATTTTGGAGCAGCAGCCGCAAGAGCTAGAGATGCTGGGTTTTCTACTGAGGATGACCAAAATATGGTGAAAGGTAAGCTTCCTTTCTCATATTCTTCCTCTCCCTCTTCATCTTCATCTTCTCCTCACTACAACAAAACCACCGGCGTAGCCACTCTGGTCCCTTCTTCCGCTGTCAGCAGAAGCCGCAGCTGGCACCACGGCAGCGGCAGCCCCGACACGAAGCTCGAGCTTATGGACTCGACCCCCCAAGAAAACAACGAAGATGGTGGTGCTCAAAGAGAAGAAAACCCAATCCCCATCGAGAGGGAGCACATGTTCGACAAAGTCGTGACGCCGAGCGACGTAGGGAAGCTCAACCGCCTCGTCATCCCGAAACAGCATGCCGAGAAGTACTTCCCGTTGGATTCTTCCAGCAACGAGAAAGGGCTTCTGCTGAATTTCGAGGACCGGAACGGGAAGCCGTGGCGGTTTAGGTACTCCTACTGGAACAGCAGCCAGAGCTACGTGATGACCAAAGGGTGGAGCAGGTTTGTGAAGGAGAAAAAGCTCGACGCCGGCGACATAGTCTCGTTCCAGCGAGGACTTGGTGAGGTGGGGAAAGACCGTCTTTTTATTGATTGGCGGCGCCGCCCAGATGCGCCTGATCCAAACCATCACCACCACCACCACCCGCTTCATCCACATTATCAGCCCAATTTTGCAATTCCTCATCAGCATCAATACTCCTGGAACCCTCACCGGTCGGTTCCATGGAGTCCGTTGCTGATGAGACCTCCCGGGGCAGTAGTGACTCAGGACCACTTGCTCTTGTCGCAGCAGCAGATTAATTACGGCGTCAATATGCATCACCCATATCGAAATACTGGGACAAGTGGTGGTGGTTCAGGTTCTTATGGTTACGGAAATGTGGTGAACTCTACTAGGCCGATTTATTATTTGAGATCAGCTTCATCCGCTGCCCCGCCACAGTTTCACGAGCAAGGGGACAACGGAGTAATAGAATTTCAACAACACCAACAAGTACAGCTGGGTCGGGTTCATGAGTCGAATATGGTTCTGGAGTCGGTGCCAGTGGTCCATGGGAAGGCGGCAGCCAAGAAGCTGAGGCTATTTGGAGTGAACATGGAGTGTCCCATATCGGAGTCGGATCATGAATGTGACATATTGTCTTCAACCACATTATCATCATCCCAGTATCATCATCATCATGCCCATCACCAACTTTCGCCGCCATCGCAACCCCCACCGCTCCAATTAAGGCTCTACGACGGCATGCCTCTCCTCCACCAAACCATGCCCCCTACCACCACTACTAGTATCACCACCGACTTTCTCAACATGAGTGGCAAGGCCTCCCCATCTTCCATGTCCTTGGACTATGATGTCTAGTTGACTACTCCATCACAGTGCCAATAAACATCCAAGGTTGTCAAAATTAAGGAGAGAAACGAGGAATGCAGAAGGAGAAAATGGGATGATGTGGCAAATTGGCAATTGAATAAGAAGAAGTTGGGAGAGAACTGATTTTTCAGATCAATTGATAGTCATCAGTACAGAAAAGGTACAAGGTTTTGGGTTTTTATTTTATAAGAGAATGAAATGATGATGATCTAATGAAGTGATTGCTTTATTTATAGTTTTTGTAACTTAATTTTCATGTGTAAAATATTTTTATATTATATAATAACAATCTATATAGATAGATATAGATCATATTCAGCGCAGTGGTATATTCTATCAAGACATAGATCCATCATTTCCCCAAGATTTCATGCTCTCATTTTGTATCACTGATGATATGAAATATGAATTTTTACAATTTATATGAAATATGAATTTTTACAATTTATATGAAATATGAATTTGTTACAATTTATATACTTATGTACTCGTATATTAATTTGGGAGCAGCCTCTCCATAAATGGGGGTAAGGCTAGCCGACATTCACCTCTCCCAGACCCTGCGTAAAGCGGGAGCCTTGTGCACTGGGTACGACCTTATGTACTCGTATATTAATCTCTTCGGTCTCTCTCTCTCTCTCTCTCTCTCTCTCTCTCTCTCTCTCTCTCTCTCTCTCTCTCTCTCTCTCTCTCTCTCTCTCTCTCTCTCTCCCTCCCTCCCTCCCTCCAATGTTGTTGTTGTTGTTTTCATTTAAGTAAGTAAATGGAAGAAACAACCTTTCCTGCTGACTGCTCAGGAAACAGATGATGATCAGAACAAAAGTGCTGCTAGTGCTAGAGCGACCTGATGTAATTGCAGTTTTGTATTTTACCTTTGGTAGGTTTGTTGTTCTTGTCGCTGCTTCGTTGGGCACACCAGTGCTCGCAGGTTTTCTCAGACAGACTTGCAGAGATTAAAAGCAATAAGGTAGCCAGCTCTGTTATATATATGTCCTTAATTGAAAATATATCTCTCTTTATACATCTTTAACTATTTTCCCTCATTAATTCTTGCTACCTTCTTTTTCTGCACTAAAGTAATTTAATTTATTGATTTTCTTGTTGCCACCTTAATTTTTTCTTTTCATTTCACTGCAAAATTAAAATTAAATTCTCCTACAAATCAGTATAGCTAATGTATTATGGTGCACCTCTAGTACTACTATTATTGTTCTTATGTCTGTGTTGCATTTGGTTTTTACTTACAAGAAAATTTTGAACTTTGCATTTGATCAACAAAATGTATATTTGGTAGTACTGAACTTAATTAAGGATTAAACAGTACCTTTTTCATGGTTTGAACTTTTTATATGGACCACATTTTTTAACTTGTAACAACAACAACAGCATGACAATAAGAGTAGTAGAGATGTAGCTAGAGTGCTAGCTGCATGCTCTATTGTAATGTGAATTTTATAAAATCATAGTGTTGTGAAGACGAAAACAATATACTAGGGCGTCGTCTCTATAATTTTTAATGTTTTTGATCATGGTTGATATTTCGGGATGATATATTTTATATTCAGTTTAAAGATATGGATGATAGATACATGTACATATACATACATATACAGATTCATGATCAGGTTCTTTTGCCACCTAAAAAATCATGTTTTTCATCATTTACCATTGTGATGTGGATGAAAACTTTACAATAGAAAGCTGATCTATTCTTGTTCTATAGTTCAAATAATCTGTCACAAAATTAAGGATCAGTGAGTTGAATGCATTAGTTGGCATATATGTGTATTAGTTGAATGCATTAGTTGCATGCATGAAGTAAAATGAGGAACAAAATTAACGAGCAGTGAGCCTAACTTTAACTTATTGCTAAGGCCTGATATTATACAAAATTTTCAACCATCTTAGGATTTCTCTGCGTGCGAATTGAAATCATGAGCATTATACATTCTCATCATAGCCTAGGGTTACACTCGCTTTGAACTTTCTCTTTTTTTTTTTTTCCCTTAATTTTATTTAGTTTAATTATTTTTATGAGAGGAAAAAGAATTAGCTCTTTCGAAGGGTTCATGCTTGAGACATGCATAAAAAAGTAATTCATACAGAATTTTAACAAAATGAACATGGTAATATACACAAAATACTCTAATGGTAATATATAAAAACTTTAACATTATTAGGAAACATCCCACATCAGCCACTCAGTTGATTTTAGCATATACAAATTGTGCCCTCTTACACGAGAGATAATTGGCAAAATCCTTCAACAGTTTTTTTTTTTTCTTTAAAAGAAAAGCACAAATATACAAGGATTAGGAATATTTGGTTTGTAGTTAGTAATTAATTGCTCATATACTAATGTTGTTCATTCTCCTGATCATTACTCCTAAATTCTTTCACTAGTGTCACTACTAATGTGACATGGTAAGATATTAGGAATTTTTAAATCCTTATAGTACTTACTAAAACTCATTTGATGATGATATTAGTCCTGTTTGCTTCTTCTTTTTTTTTTTTTTTTTTGGTTGATATCGTTCAGTGGTTTCTAGTTAATTTTTTGTACAAATTGAATTGTGTATGTATAATAAGTTTAAGCAATACGGATATGTAGAGAGATCGTATACTATACACCTACATAACTTAATATATACAAATCCTACATCTGACATAACTGATATTTATGAGTAATCATTTTCCAACCCTAAATCTCTATATAAGAAGTTTATGAGTGTATACATTTATAGAAATTAAATTTTCTTTGACATGCAAGTACAAAATCCAGAAACTAATTAACTTGTAAAACATATATTTGCAACAGTTAGATGTAGATGTATGGTCTGTACAGCTAAATATTAGTTTCCAATTTAAGTTAATTTTATTTGTTTGTCTATTTTAACTAATGAAGCATTTCTAGTAAAAGTTAGTAATTGAATTTCCCGCAAAAGGAATTGCATTTTACATTAATGAAGTAACACCATTTTGATGCACTTACAGTCTAGAACATGATGAGTATCAGATGTAATAACAGTCAGTTTCGGTTTTGGATTTTCTAGCAGGTATGTACATATACAGAAGCTGATATATTCCTTTCAATAGGGTAATGAATTCTGTCAAGTGTTAATATATGGCTGGCTTTTATTGTTTTGACAACCCCCTCCTCTCTCTCCCTAGCTGGAAACTCCCACTAGAAATTTGAGCTTGTATCTTGTTCACAAGTATTTACTCTAAATTAATCTAAAATACGAGAAAAGAAATTTGAATTTTGCATGCAGAATGAAGTTCACAAAGTATTGGAAGTAATTTATTTTTATACACCTTTGTTAATTTTTCGTAGGTACTATTTAGCCCTAAACGTACTCCAGTATTTTAAGCAAGCTCGCCATTTTTTCGACATCTAGTTGTTGATATAGCTAGAGTCGATTGGCCTCATGGCATTCTAACGTAGTTTATCTTCCTTTCAGACTTTATGCGGTATTGTCAACCGAAAAAAAAAAAAAAAAATTTATTAGGAGGGAGGGACTGCTGGAATCAAGTTTACACAAAAAAATATTCCATCATTAATGTTATCGTACGTAGAGTTTTTAAAGAGATTTCCATACTTACACATGTATACATTTGACTCTTTAATAAAATCAAGTTTAGAGGAACATATACTTCTACATTTTACACATATGATCTTTATTTCTATAGACAAATGGAATGAAGCATGAAGAAAGTTCAGGTAATTGGTAATATAGGGAGTAGTCCAATCTCTTATAAGCTCTTGTAAGGTTTTTCTTTTCCCAATATGAGACTCTTTTACTTTCATATCCTCATCACACACCACCTCACGTGATTTTCAAGCTAACGCGAATTGGGTGACACGGAGTACGTGTGACCGTTGGGCTTCACACGTAAGCCTATTTACTCTGATACATGAAGAAAGTTGAGGTTCCACCATAAAATCAATTGGCAATCTGATGAGTATCCCAACCTCTTATTAGCCCTTGCAAGATTTTTTTTTTCACTGATGTGAGACTTTTTGACCTTCACATCCTCACAATTAATTGCCATTATACTGCACATAATCGTTGTTGCTCACTTATAAGATAGTCTTAAAAAGTTCGTGACAAATAAAGTGAGGTTTAGGTTCAGGTTAAACTATTACGTACATGCATCCTTAGAGAATTTGAACTTCATGTTCTCTTTTGATGGGCTGCTAAATTGTTGACCAGCGTTAAAAAATGGGAACTTTAATGAAAAACTCCCGGTAATGTTCACTTTAATGAAAAATCATATTTTTACATTAAAACGTCAATCCTAGTACTATTCACTTTACCCTTTATCTTATCCTTATCGTTAAAACTCAAAGTTTTCAAGCCATTTTCATTAGTTTTTCTTTAAAAAATTAACTAGACTTTGAATTTTCACTATTTGAATCCAAAAAGAGGCTCTATATATTTATATGCACTCAAAAAGATAAGTTACTATTTTGCTTTCATGTATTGTTTTCATACAAAAATTTATGATAAATTCCAAAACAATTAAAAGAACTCATCGTCAAATCTCGCCATAGCGATCGAGGGATAGAGCTACATGGCGAGGAGCGGGGAGATAGATGAGTTTCTTCTTGGTATTTGTTTGTTAGATTTTTCAAAGATTTGATTTCTAATTGGTTTAAAGTTTGATTAATCTTTGGTATTCAACTAACTTGCCCATAATTATATAAAACAAAGGACACTGTTTAATAGACTAGGATATGTGTAGGAATCATTGTACTTTTGGAAAATCTTTTAAAAGAACAGAAAGAAATGCGAAGATGAGAAGATATGAAGAAATGTCTCACATTAGATGTTTATAAAATTGTGTATGAGGTATCATCTATTAATTTTATAATGAAAGCTCTAACTCTTTCAAGAAATCAATCCCCCTTTAAGTGTCAAATATATTTGCTACTCTGCACATAATCCACATCCTGTCGTAACTTTCAAATGTTTGGTTCATAGATATGTTCATCACAGGAGGGGGAATTTTTTATTATGACGGGAACATGCTTAGTACATCACATGTTTTTATGTAAGTGGTGAAAAATTTAATTTTTTAACTAATTAATTTTTTAACGCATATATCTCACTATTTGTATAATAACACGTGGTGTACCACCTCGTGTATCAGTCACATTAAAAAATCTTTCCACAAAAAGAAGCTTAAAAACGCCATATATATATGACATGACAAAATATCCGGTGGAAATTCACGACTAATTAAAGAATCAAGAGACAACAATGTAGATTTTCCTACTTATGAAAAATCAAAGTAGAATAAAGCTTTATATGTTCTTTATATAACTTTATATCCCCAAAATTGATTAAATAAATTTATATGTTCTTTATATATGATCAGTAAAATAAAACAGAAAGCAGAAAAATATTGTAAAATGTAAGATATGATTACGTATTACTGTGTCCTTTTTAGGGTTACTGAAGCAGTAGTGAGCATAACTACTGTTGTGTTCGGGGGTTGTCACCCTTTACGAGGACATACCCACTGATAAGTTTCTAATTAATGTAACCTCACTTTTTTTTCGTTTCAATTATATCATGGATCATACACACACGCACATTGTACAACGGACAAGAATTCTCTCTTTTTTTTTTGTCTCTCTCCTTCTCTCCCCTTTTATTTGAATGGTTACGGTTAAGCTACATCAATATTTTATATTAATTTTTTATAAAAAAAGAGAAAAACAAAATAAAAAATATGAGAGAAGATAATGAAAAGAGAAGGGAAGAGAATTCTTGTTCTTATACGACAGCCCTTGGTACTCTGCAACTGGGGGCCGTCTAGAGTATACATGTGGATCATGTAGGCAGGCAGGGCAGCATGTAGGCTCAGATAATCAAGAAGCAAGATAATTAATTAAATGATCGGTAGCGTTCAGTGATAGCAGCAGCATTGCTGCAGCTAGCAGACCGGACAAGCATAACGAAAAGTGTGGACAAGTCCCGATTCATTTACAATATATGGACTATTGCTCCCCACTCCCCTTTCTCATCTCTCTCTAAAAAAACACACCAAACACAAGTTTTGTCCACTTGACAATGATCGGGTACATCGGATTGGTTTTTATTCCGATGGCTAACTTGCTTTGTCCTATTGCTATTAGGATTGAGAAGTACCCCTTTCGAAGCGCTAGCTCCGACACCAGCTAAACCCTAATCCAACATGTAATTGGTTCAATTGGTCCAAAACTAAACCCAAATCAAATTATGGAGAAATAATTATGTGTCATCGGGTGTAGGACGAGGGGTAAGAGTAGGTTAAGATAAAAGTGTAAAACTATATGAGAGGTTTACGGTTTGAATTGTTGAGTTGTATTCTTCTTTTAAAGATGAAATATATATACAAATACAATGATGTCTGGTATAGTGAACCCTATTCCAGATACATTAAATCCTTATGGTGCATTGACTCACACGAATAGGTTAGGTCTGAATTTGAACCAATAACATAGAATAATTATATCTTTTTTATTTTCTTGTAATTACAAACATATGGTGCGATGGCAAGTGCCTTCGCACCATGAGCGGTAGGTCTCGGGTTCGAGACTTGGAAGCAGCCTCTCCATAAATGGGGGTAAGGCTAGCCGACATTCACCTCTCCCAGACCCTGCGTAAAGCGGGAGCCTTGTGCACTGGGTACGACCTTTTTTTTTAATTACAAACATATGGTAGCCAAAACTAACTTTGCTTCTTCCAACATGCATAAGAAACCAAAATAAGCTGATTGAATATCAACCTAACCAAATTGAAATATATATATATATATATATATATGTGTGTGTGTGTGTGTGTGTGTGTGTGGCTTGGAGTATTGTAAGCACGTGACGTCGGTAACTAATAAAGAAGGCAGGACATTAAGGATGATGAAAAAGGAGGTGGAGAGGCAAACAAGACTCCAAGATTTCCTATGCGCTGCTCAACTCAAAGCCTTCTCTCTCAAAGCATGAAGCAGAAAGAAGAGTACAGTGCAGTCCCCACTCTGTGGAAAGAGAGGGCAATAGGATACTAGCTAGAGTAGGTTTTAGGGTTGATAGGCGTAATCAATGACGTCAACAAAAGAAAAGAAAAGTAGTCGCAGTAGAACTAGGAATTGTATTCTTCGTTTTCAGTCTCTCGTTCTTTCTTGACTTTAGCCAAAACAACTTTCATAGCACAACAGTTACGTTTTGTATCAATCACACAATTACATAAAAATTTAGACATAATATTATATAATTAATTCAAACTACTATAATACTTATCTATCAATATCATGTAAGTCATTCTCAAATAAACAACGCATGCAATATACTCCCTACAAGACTTCTTCTGCATAGCCCACGTTGATGTTTCTTTCTCTAGTTTTAAGGAACTGGATCTTCTCCTGAGCTCAGGATGGGGATTCTCATGAGCAATTCATTTGGACGTTCAAACTTGATCCAACGGTTGCAATTATTATAACTTTTAGAGGAGCTCCCTGTTTGGAGCCGTTGGATCAAATTTGAACTGTCTGATGGACTGCTCAGGAGGATCCCCATCATGAGCTTAGGAGAGGATCCAGTTCCTAGTTTTAATGCACCACATTCCAGTTATATATGAACGTGAAGACTCAAAAACACGTATACACTGTCAAAGTCGAACAATTAGTTTGGCTCTACTGCAAGTGGTAGATTTCATTCATGGTAATGAAAACCAAACAATTCCCCATCAAGATAAAATATAAATTAAAGAACTTCCAAGAAACATAGGGTGACATGGCATGCCATGGCATATGGAAAATGGGGAAAATGACAATATGGGGATCGAGATGCCATGCTGACTTTTTCTTTCCTTCCTTATTTCTCCCACTCGACATTCCATGATTCGCAAAGGTTAAATGGACCATACACCCATCTGGTTCTGCTCACTTCAGAGTTTTATCAAAGATGCTAAACGATCAACGGCTGTGATCAACTAGGGTTTTCACTTCTGGTCAATTCCGTTATGATCTGATCACTATCTTTACTGTCATGCAGAAAGCAGGAGAAGGAGGAATAATAAAAACAAAAGTAACAAAAGAACAGGAGAAAAAAAAAAACCTAAAAAAAAAAAAGGAGAGAAGAAGAAGAAACAAAAAAGATGGTGGGGGTTGTTTGTGCAGTGTTATGGACAGCTCTTCTTTCTTCTGCTAAATTGGTGGTAGCAGAGCAGCAGCAGCAGCAGCATTAACAACGACAGTGCAAAGAGAGGGCAGCCGATCCCAAAAAAACAATTGCAATTATTTAGGGTTTGATAATAACGGGTCATGGGGTGCGCACTGCACACCTCTATACAAGCTCCAAAGCAGCCGTAAAGATGTGCATAAAAAACTTACCATATTTATAAAACAAGGAGAGAAAAAAGCTACTGGCCACAAATATAAAAAAATAAAATGTATTTTGGTTAATTTTTCTGATAAATTCTGACCCACCTGGATGGGATCGGGATTGGGATTATTTGTGCTTGTGATAAAGCTCTCCCTCTTTTAATGCTGAGTAGCCAGTTTCATGCTAAGGTATCAAAACTGCACCCATGCATGATGCCAGAGTCCCAGTTGGCCAAACCCTACCTTCCACTCTAATCCTTGCCTTTTTGTCTATTCCTT